GTTCATTGTTGATAGTGATATATATCAATTCCATAGCAAACACCCGGCAGTGGTCATGTAGGCAATATTCTGCCCCAAACGCATTTCGAATTCATTGAATCGAGGCGCGAGCACTGCCGGGCTTATATGTTATCCACTTTGTTTACTACGTTATGATATTTCATAGTCAACAAAACAATCAGCACACAATATCACTTGGAATACGACAAAGAACCATTTGTTTGATCCAAAGCCAAAAAATATTCGGATAATTCCACGTTGATTGTTGATAACCACAAACAAAGAGCGAGTGATGAAATGTAAACAATATGCGCAGTGTTCACTTTTTGGGGAATGATTAAGCACTTTTCAAAAATTTTGTTCGAAAAAAATGAGTCAATGATGAAATGCGCGTGCTGAACACAAAAAGGAAAATTTAGAAAAAACTTTTTAGAAAACTCATTTCGAATTTCCAATTATCAACAAACATTTATTCGAATCACAATTAATTAATGCGATTAATAACAAGATAATTTCATCGTCTTTATTTTTTGGGGAATGATTTTTCAATTTTTAGAAAACTTTACTCAAAACAAATAGAAACTGAATCGATGATGAAATGTAAATCAAAAGGAAAATTCACAAAAACTTTTTTTGGAAAACTTATCAATAAACTTCTAATTAGTAAACATTCAATTATTCGTATCACACTTAATTCGCAACAGAATAATCACACAAAATGGAATTCTTCATTTGATGTCACAAAACAACAAGTTTCATTTCATCATGAGTCTGACAACGTGCTCACGCTGCAAAGTCAAGTTCACAATCGACAATTTCCTTTTCAACATGCGCTTTTCAACGCAACATGAGCTCTTTGGCGTTCTTCATAAACGACAGGATGATCAAAACAAAGAATTTTTCAAAACTTTTCATGAAAAATTGATGAAACAAAATAACATTTCAAACAAAATATGTTTATTAAATTTTAACGAATCGACAGTTTAAAAATAAATCAATTTAAAATAAAAATGAATTTAGCTTGCAATCGAATACTCGAAATTTAACATCAAACTAAATCCATTACGACCAGTAACCATCAGTTTAGATATGGTAATCATGGTCTCGCAAACAAGTATTGTTGATATTATTTATATTTCTTTTCAAATCAAACCAAATTCGCTGATTCGTATTATGAGAATCAAATTTTTTTGTTTTATGATTCCGGATCTTAAAAAAAGTCAACACTAAGGGAATTAGTGTGACGTTTGCACCAGGATACATAAGTTTAAATTCAGCCGATCTCATACAGTTAACACATTTTGCCGGCAATGATTTGTTAGGACATGCCGACAAATAATGGTCGCCTGCACAATGAGCACAGGTGTGATGTTGCTGTTCACAATCATTGGTCTTGTGTTTGAATCCCTGGCACCTGTAACATTGTAGCACAGGGCAAACATCCACAACATTGATTTGTCCATAATTAAATCTGATTTTGCCACCCATTTGTTCCAAAATCAAACTTTTGATTTTGGGGTGGACTTTAATTCCAACATTTGTTAATTTCGCGAAGACCTCCTCGATGTCGTTAAATTGTTTCCTTCTTCTGATTATTTTGAAACCAGTTCGGAAAAATTCCATTTCGAAAAGCACCTCCAAGGATTCGAACCCGAGACCAATTGATTTAAGGTTAATAGCTTGAATCCCCCATTAGCCAAACCAATTTTAGTTCAGATTTTCGTCGTGTCGAAATCCGTTCAACCGAAACTTGTATTTACATAGTGATGATAATTGTTGATCACTTATCTGCTAAATCATAAATAACCAAATGATGACCAAAAAATTTTGTCGTCGAGACGTCTCGCCAATCGTTCAAACAAGAATCAATTCCGTTATCTCGAAATCTTCAAAAAACTTGATAAGAGAAGCCGATTTGCAATGTCAAACTTGAAGATATTTTCATGAGCACTGCATTTCTAACAATCTCAACAAATAAACCGAATGACTTGTTGATGCTTATGTGCTCACCCTATTTATAGCAAGTGCTATTTTGACAGCACATGCTATCAAATCGAATTTTATCATTTTAATTCTTCCTATTTGAAATGAGAACAATTCATTTTTGATTTCTTATCAGTTTGTGTTGCTGAAATGCATTCAAAAAAGAAACCAATTGCCAAATGCTACAGTGTTGGATTGAAATGAAATTTATTAGATTCAATTCAAATGTGAATATTGTCTGAAAATTGGAAAATTAGAAATCTTAGTCCAACAAACGAAAATACAATAAAATATAATTTGAATCAATTTGAGCAGTATTTGTTAATGTTAGTCTTATTTATGATTGATTGTTTTGTTTTGTTTGGATGACAATTCTATGTTGTGTGACGTCATTCAAATGTATAGGTTGGTTAATGTTTGTTTTTTCATTGAAATTGACATTGACAACAACAATTTGATTGTTGCTCTTCAAGGATGCTAATTGCAATCGGTTATTTTTAGACCGAAATTTGTTATTATGGCAACAATTTTGACTTTGATTTTACTTTGCTTGTTTTGGACCAGAAATTTCTTGGTTGATGGTTCAAGTTTCTAGGCAGATACAACGATCGGATATGGACTGCCGGGCAAGTGAATATCATTGAACTTCAAGTGAAGTTTATAATCACCCGGTGTCGGTGGTTTGTAGATGACCGTAATAGTGCCATCATTATTATTGCGAAAACTCACTTCTACTTTGGCTGGTCCTTCCATCGCAAAACTGATGCCACCAGTAATGCCAGCTTCTTTACAATCGATGGTCAATTGATTATCTTGGTTCACTTTGCCGGTGCTGATATTTGGGCCACCAACTTTCACTTTTTCTGTCAGTTTTCGGTGTGTAGATTCATCACCCGAAATATTACATTTGAATGGTGATCCCACGATTTCTTTTCCTTCATATTTAATATGGATTTTGTATTGACCACCTGCTTTCGGTATATAACCAACATCGACTGAACCGTCTTTCGTTGAATTGAAGTTTATCTCAGGTTTCGTTGGACCTTTATCATCGAAAAATCATTTGTTAAAAGAGCACAAAAATATCCACTGAAAATACCTTCAAAGGCAACAGTCAACCCGGACACAGGCTTTCCCGATGTAAAAACTGTGAATTTATTCTCCATACCGGCAATGCCGTTGACCAAACCACCTCCATGTGCTGAGATACTCATTATTGCGATTCAAAAATGGAAATTTTTTCAACAAAAAACCTAAAATTGAATGAAAATTGATCAAGTTTTGAACTTGGCAAAACTGATATAATGATATAATGCAAACATTTACTCACCAACACCGTAACTGAACAACGACTGATTGTTTTGCTGGGTGAATCTTTTTAGCTAACTAACAATGTTTGACATGAATGATGATTGCATCCAATTCTCTCACACACCATCATTATTGCTATGGAATATTCTCTCTCCATGGTGTAGGTGTATGTTGTATTATTATTTTGATGTATCACATATGTGCTGGAAATGATTTCAATCTCAGTCTTGAAAACAGAATCTAAAAATAAATCCGCATTTCTTAAATGAATTGCTTGTTTGTCGTCATGCTGATCATCTTCTGATTATCAACATCATTTCAGTCTGTTTTGTTGTTGGTAAGCCAACCGATTAATGGAAATGCATTTGCAAACAAAATAAGATCAGCAATTTCATTGAAAAAATACAAATCGGAAATTGTTTCTCTCGAAAAGATTGATTTATGGATTGGATGTCCGAGGCAAATGTTTGTTTATCCGAACAAAATTCTGTTTACTACCACAGAATCATCTCCGAAATATCTGTTTTAGGTGAAATCCGTATTTGGCTTGATGAATGAGTGAGTGAGTGGTAGAAGAATATCAAAATTAGACTTCAACAAACAAAACAACAACATCGTCAATTATCAATGTGACTTTATTTAGCATCATCGTTCTAGACATTCTTGTTGAGAGACGGAGATCGAGAAAAAAACAAAATCATAATCATCAACATTATCAACGACAAAAGTTTGCCAAAATATATCAAACGATAAAGCAAAGCAAACAAAAAAATTGGCTTCGTTTATTTTCCGAATGAATAAATCTGAAATGAACAAAAACTAAAAAAGATTTTTATCGTCTATTGAACCCCTTTCCTCTCCCCTTTTCTGCCATTATCATCGATTATTTTCCCATCGAGAATTTTGAAAACATTTTCGAACATCGATTTAGACACACATGGGTAGAATTGGAATCGAATCATTTCGATGAAACAAAAATCAATCTGGATATTCCCACTCCCAATGAAAAATGATCATTTTCGAATCTGTTTTCATTCATTGCAATATTGATGATCGAAAGTTTTTCATTCAACAAAATTACTACCATTATTCAATATTCAAAACAGCCATGTTATTGTTGATCATGGCAAAAATGTTGGCCGGATTTTTTTGTGTGGTTTTTTTCACTGCTGTTTTTGATGTATTTATGTGATTGTTGAAGGATGGTTACCGTGTTATCGTTTCGATAGAAGGAATATCAGCAAAAATGATACAGATAGAATATGATTATATTTAGAAAGAATATCAACCACAACAACCCAAAATAAACTGATGTTATTGTCGAATGCTGTGGCATGGAAAATGAATAGATTCTGATTCTTCTTATTCGATCAAATATAACCGCAAAACAAGCCGCAAAAATAGTGTTTGTTTTTCCATTTCAATGCAAATCAACACCAACCAAAAGTACAATCTCTCAAAATATCTACATCATCAAAATATTTCTGTCGAGCACAAAATCTTTGGCAAATTTGTCGGTTATTCAATTCAATTATTATTTCAAACCGCAACCATCAAATTCAAATTGACAAATAGTTGATCAACACAAGTCAACTCTATTTTCAAATTGTTCTAAACATAGAGGTAAGTGTGTCGTCCAATGACAGCATTTCAATCAGAGTTTTTCCCTCAATTCATTGATAAGATGGCAATCGACGTGAACAAGATCAAAGTATTGGGAAACCTTTTGAATCCCAGCTCGGGTAAAAAGCCAGTGACCGGCAAGAAATGTCTGGTATTGATACGTAGTGATGATGAATCGCTGGATAAATCCGTATTGAAACGTTCAATAACATGCCAAGTGGAAGGACCAACCAAACCTGAAGTATTATGGTCAACGGCTATTGCTGAACCGGATATCGATGAACGAACCGTCGTTGGATACTTTGTGCCAACTAAACCCGGTAAACATAGACTGACAGTCAAATGTCAAGGTAAAAAACTGCCCGGATCACCATTCGAATATGATGTTATCGGTGATTGTTTAGACATCGAAAAACTATTGCAAAAGGTTTGTTCAATCCGCCCATTATCACTGTTGAAATATTGTGGATAATGATCATTATGCTCAGGTGATAGTGTCCGGACGTGGTTATGAATTGGGCAAAGCATTCACCTATAATCAATTCGTCGTCGATTGCAGTATGGTACAGCCACCATTAGGCAATCTAAAAGTTCACGTGAAAGGACCAGAAAGAGCTGCGGCAAATCTATCCATAATAGACAATGAAAATGGTACATTTACTATCAGATACAAGCCTACGTCACCCGGCATCTATACTATAAATGTTAAAATTGCCGAAACTGACATACCTGGGTCACCGTTTCAGGTTCGGGTTACCGAATTTCTATCATCATAATTTTTCATATTCATTTCTCTTATTCATTGTTTATCCATGCAAATAAATTCAACGAAAATATCTAACACCATTGATTGCATCTCACTATTTCGACTTTAGTTGTTTTTATTTGTCAATGTTTTCAACTAACATTCAAAAAAATTTAAATAAATAAATAAATCTTAATATTTGGATTGTGATGATGATTGTTGAGAATAAATATAGGAATTAATTACACATTTTATTAATGGCCAGAGATGTATCCAGAAAGTGTTCAATCGAGGTATCGTCATTTTCAGTATCTATCAGGATTGTGAAAAAACAACATGAGAAATGTTTGGACAACAGCAAATAACTTACTTTTCATAACCACCATCATATCCACCACCATAACCACCGCCATAGCCGCCATCATAGCCTTTATCATATGATTCATATTTTTCAATATAAACAGGCACTTTGTATGGAACAGGCACTTTAACTGGATATGGAACACCGACTTTGACTGGGATTTTCACCGGTATGGCGACCGGAACTTTAACCGCAATTTTTTTGACGATAATTTTTGGCGGCAATTTTACCGGAATATAAACGGGAACTTTATATGCGACTTTGTGCACGATTGGTACTGGATAGCCGACTTTATGTACGACAACATGTGGTTCGTGATCATCGTCGAAAATTGCTGCTACCATTTGCATGGCCAACAAACAAACTATTACACTTATTGTATATTTTGACATCTTTTTGCTATATCACAAACTAAACTAAACTCAATCAATCAAACGTTCAAAATGCTTGGTCTCATCCGAATCAATGGTCTTTTTATTGGTTCTTGGATGGCCTTTTGGAGCGAAAGAATCATGCGAGAGAGAGAAAAGCAAGATGCTAACAAGAGAAACACACACACATGCATCCATCTATTATGTTGTGACATTCAAAGTATTACATAATCCGTGTTTTCCGTAAATGTAATGATAATAGCTAGGTCATTTACCTTATATCATTATTTCTCAAAAAATGAACACATTTCGAAATGAACCCATCCGATTAGATAAAGAGAAACACTAAATGCACGTGTATTGTATTTCAATCACCATCAAAATAATCAGCCATGACATAATTCTTTTTTCATTTTTCCATTCAATTGATCAATAACAACGAATGATGCTGCAAGCAATCATCATTATTAATAATCATGATACAATCATTATCATCACCATCAAATCTATTTTCCATAAAAGACTTCAAAGTAATCATTTATCTCTCACACATCAATTTTGCTGGATCGAAAATTAATGTGAGAAAAACGATGCCTGTTCCATGGCTTTTGGGCAATCACTATTAATAAATAGTCAATTTCTTTAAATGATATTTTATAATCTAAATTTATACACATTTCACAAAGGTCAACAACAAACAACTGTAATAACATAATCATGGATCATGTTTTCAAATGTTTTTTTTTTCATGAAAATCTCGAAAAGCAATTTTGTTTATCAATAATGATGATGATTCAACAAAACAAACTGCTCGATTGATCAATCAATTGATCAATGATCAAGCAATTTTTCCCTTTCGTTCCTTCATGGCCTACACCCATCATCCTCATCAATATCGAATAATATTTGTTGTTGTTTTTGGATGTCATGGACAAGAATAATTTCGTTGAAAGTCAAATCCTTTATGTTTTCGATGTGATTGGCAAATCAAACAAATTTTGAATTCCCAGAGATTTTCCCACCAATAGAATAATGAATCGTCGTGGTAAAGCATACCGGGGTGATGGTGAATTAGCTCAAGATGAAGATCAACTCATGGAATATGTCAGTTGTTTGCATTTTGCTTCATATTTTTCCATTGAAAAAATATGATTTATTTTTAGAAACATTAAAGCAAACAAACTCAATTGATAATTTCATAATGATTTCCTTTCCTTTTTTGATAATTTAGCAATTTGAAATCAAAACCGATATCTGTGGCTATTTGAATGTATTCGTCAAGGGCGATCTCGATAACCTGCAGCCATCCTCATTAGTATTTCTCACTGTACATGATCTAGGCACTAATCGTATGTTTGCTTTGTGTTGTTATCGTTTATTATTCAATTTGTATCACTAATATTTTCCAGATGAGGATTTTCATAAATTATTGGAACATCCTTGTATGGCGCGAGTGAAACAACGTTCCGTTTGGATACATGTTGATATGCCCGGTCAAGAATATGACGCTATCGATTTGGCACCATATTTTGATTTTCCAACACTCGACCAGATTAGCGAAGATTTAGTTCAAATATTGGATTATTTCAGTATTGATTCTTGTGTAACATTCGGAGAAGGTGCCGGTGCAAACATCCTTTTGCGTATGGCTGTAAGTTACCGTTTGTTGTCAAAGAGAAAATCTTTGAAAATTTCCCTCTTGAAAATGAATAGATAAATCATCCGGATCGTGTTATGGGTAACATATTGATACATTGTCAGCCAACTAATGACAGCAATTTAGTGACTTATTTCAAAAATGAATATAATCTGTGGAGATTTCGAGTGTTTGGCATGAATAAGACTACCGATAATTTTCTTGTTCAACACAAATTCGGTTTGGTATGTATCATTTTCATCATTATGGTTTTTTTCGCTAATTTTCCTTCCAAGTCACTCAATGCTAAAATGGATCTGGATACAGAACAATCCATCAAACAATACCTGGAACAGCTACATAAACGAATCAACCGCAAAAATTTGCTGCCATTCATTCGTGCTTATCTTGGGTATGTTAATTCAATATTGCCTAATCTATCCATTCATCCATCTATGTTTGAAGACGTTCCAATATAGCGACCAAGATTAAGAATGAACTAATCGTGCCAACATTGATTGTATCGGGTTCCTATCCACGATTACAACGTATGGCTGATGAAATGCAATCCCTGATTGATAATAAAATCCTAACCCGTTGGAATGCATTGGATTGTTCATCCGTATTGGACGAGGCTACCGATTTATTTGTTGAAAAATTGATTCTATTCTGTCAAGGTTTAGGTTATTGTAAGTAATCATCACTATCAATCAATCATTTCCTCTAGTTTTCTAATTCCATTCGAATACAGTTTCAACATTTTCAATCGTTCATCAGGATCCATTCAATCGTTACTGATAATTTGTTAATAGAAAATGTGAATAAAATTTTGTTTTTGTTGTTATTGAATTGAGTTTGGTCCTAGTGTTTATGAACGGCGTCTATAATTCTTTTGTTTGCTGAATGAAAGCTCGTTGTGTTGTGTGTGTGTTTTGATGCAAACAAACCAAGCAAACAAATTCTCATTTGATTGTTAATTGTTTTTTCCCGCATAAATTCTAATTAATCGAAAAATAGTGGCCAACGAAATCAATCGAAAACGACAGCGACAAGATTCAAGCGAGGTTTTTGAATCAACCGAAACAGTACAAAACCAGCCAGATCTGAAGCCAATCGTTGGCGTGGATCATATGGATAATAACAGTGGCGGCCAACCGATGGCCAATGGAAAATCAATCAAATTAACAAATGGATCCGTTGGTGATTCGAATCGATATAATCAATCAATGAATGGCAGCGGTAATGCCAATGCATCAATGATGAGACGACATGATGATCGTCCACCAATCGATCTGATTGATGACAATAGTGACGATTTATATAATGATTCCTATATGGATATCGATTCCGATCCAGCAACTGCTATCGGTGCTGGTAGTGGCGGTCTTTACAGTCCGATGATGATGATGTCCCATTTGAATTGTTCGCAGCCACAACCACCATCATCACTATTATCTTCATCGAATTGGGATGACGGAATTCTCATGGGTCCGGATAGTGGTTGCATCAATGGCAGTGGTGGTGGTGCTGCTGGTCCAGGCAATATGCCATTATCACAACGACAACAATTAATGGCCAAATTGATGCATCAAGATTTTTTTAATAAATTTGATGATCTACTCGATAATGATGATCTCGATTGATTAATAATTATGTAAATATCAACAACAATCATTCATTCTTGTTCAGAAATACAATCCTGGCCCAGATGATCAATCCAATTCGTGTGATATATGATATATGATGTTTGTATTGAAACAAGAAAAGTTTTCTCCCAAAACAATAAAAAAGATTGAATTTGAAATTGATTTTTGCATTTTGGTTTGTTTGTAAATAAAAATAACCTTATATGCCCATATATAACATGTATAGCATGGTGTGTTGTATATTTGATGCTTGGAAATACTGAGCCGGTCATTGACATTCGCTGGCTATCACATCCATCATGTTAATAAAAATAGTAATGTTGAGTGAGAGACACATATTGGGCCCATCCTATTGCTGCAAACTAATTCGGGTTTATTCGCCTGGTTGGTTGGTTGATTTCTGGGTTTGAGGCAGGCGCATTTTTTACAAAACGAACCAAAATAGAGAGAATGGAAATAGAACAAGGAAGGCTGAAAACCTGATTCAATTTGACTGAAGGATGATATCTGGTTGGTAATGAGGGAGTCATTCAATAATAATGATGAATCCCACTATATTTATTGTCCATAAACTGCCACCACAACAACCAAGGCGACGACCTCAGAATGAAAGAATAATCACAAACAAAACAACAAAAGTTTTTCTTTTTTCCTCATCATCATCATTCACCCACAACAATAACCAAGTTTCAACAATCATTTAGTCATTCACATTCGATTCATCCGATCATCATCATGATTAACAATCGAAAAATTACTTAGTGTAATTTTCGATTCCATTTCGAAATTCATGGTCCACCACTGTGTCTTTCTCCTTATATTGGCGCCTAGTCCCAATGATTGATATCCCAAATCAAAACAAAATATTGATTGCAATGATATATCCAAGTGCAATAGCTTGCGTGGCATCTTCGGTTCATTGAAATCCAAGCCAAGTGGTAGTGGCAATAGTTATATTTGTGCTATTTTTTTCCCAAAAAATATCGATTTATTCTGAATGTGTGTTGTGCATTGATATTGCTTATATTGTCCATTGGATGTGATAAAATACAATTTTTTCTTATCATCATCATCATCATCATCAATCGAATCCAATTTTCTACTTACCACAACGACCTCTATCGGTAAGTAAAATGACTTGATAAGTCCCAAAATATTGTTGACATCACAGCCCCTCTTGAAATAATCCAAATTAAACACACACCCACTGCATGGTGGTAGTCTGTTGTTATGATGACAATCAATAGGAGGAGTAATAGCAGTAGTAGTGGTAGCTGGTCATATTGGTCGTTGGCTTTTCACACCAGAATTGCCAATGAATTGGAATTGGATACACACACAGACAGAGAGAGGGAGAGAGTAAGTATCTTTTTAGGGTTCGCTTAACCGTCGTGTACCCCCTCCTCCTCATAACCAGCAAGTTTTGCTGGCTGGCTGTACCTCCTCCCCTTCTAAAACTTACTTGCGCTGCTCGTTCGAACCAAACAAATAAGAAAAAATCAACAACAAAAAAGACAACAAAGAGAGTGAGAGAGAAAAGCTCTGAAACGAACCCGAATAGAACAGCCATGCTGACCGTTCGATTGTTCCGTTGCTGGAACATGATTTTATTTGAATTTTAGCATATTTTTTGAGCCAAAATTAACCATTTTTGATTGAATAATCAATCAATTCCAATGAAAATGTCTTCCAGATCAACATTATCGATGATTGATTCATCAGAAGAATCAAGCTCTCAGCAACAACAATCGGATCATCCACAACGTCCAAAACGTTTAGCAGCTCAAAGAGCTAAAGTAACAAATTTTAAACCATAATGATACAGTGATTGTAGTTGGTTTTTGATGATCCAATTGAAATTAACCATTCTTTTCCAATCTCTAATCATTAGGTATATCTAAATGATAATCTTGATCATTGGAATGAAGAACGTGCCCTGCAAAAAGCATTGGAGGCAAGTTTAGTCGATGAAGCGGCAAGAATCAGTTTCCAATTACAACAAAATCAATTCACCGATACCGAACAAGAAGAGAATAGCAGTGATAGTGAATCCAGTAATAGCAGCGACTATACAACGGCAACAACAACCAATTCAATCACTAGTGATCAAGAAACAATGGGTCCAAGACAAAGTCAACAACCAAAACAGAATGGTGGAGCTAGCCACATTAAATCATCGACAACAAAAAAGACCAAAATTGGATCAAAATTAGTTAGAAATCAAACAACATCAACGACCAATAAAAAGAATAACAAAAAAACTAATCCATCCAAATCAAATAATAATCGTACATCATCAACAGCGACCATAATGAATGGTAAAACGAGATCGACAATTGGAAAATCATCTCGAAAAATTGATGATTCAATAACAACAAATAATAAAAAAAGTAAGTGTTTTGCCATTTTCATTCTATTCTGTGTTCCTTTTCATAAATGACGTGTTCACCTAATGATAGTTTATCAAAATGTTTGTTTGTCTGTGTGTTTTGTCGAATTCCTGTCTCTTTCAATGTTTTTGAATTGAAAATTGCCCAAAATCTTTGACACTCTGTACATATCTGTCTATCTATCTATCTATCTCTATATCCATTATATTCAACAATTAGATGCTGTGCAAAATAGAAAAACGAATTTTGGAAGTAAACACGGTGCTGGATCATCATCATTCGATTCTTGTGAACATCACCGTCAACAGATTGTCCAATCCGATACTGATGATGATGATGGTGACGATGACGACCAAGACGATGATGATGATGATGAGGAAATAAAAATGTCGCTTAATCGTCGAAATAATCTTACTGAAATGGAAGATGATAAGGGTGATGGTGGCGAAGAAAAGCCGCAAACAAAATATCTGAATGATGTACATATCCGTCGTACGGTTGCAGCGCAACGTAAATTTGCCATCAATTCAATCGTCTATCAATTGGCTAATCAAAAACTATCATCCACATCGCCTCCACCGCCATCCTCATCATTAATTAATCAAAATAATCAAATGGTCAATATCGAGCAGAGATTGGAAAAGAAATTCGAATTGTTTCCCAACAAATTGATCAATTCGAATGATTTTGTCACATGGATGTGTCACGTTGATGTTGATGACCTGTTTCGTAGCAATCAATTGATTGAATTCCCACGTACATATCGTTATCGTGATATCTATCCACGTGATTATGCTATGGGCAAATATCATGATGTTAATGACAGTAATGATGATGATTATGATCAACAAACGGATTCGGATTCAGACGACCAAGACGATTCGTCCGATACCGATTCGGATTCGGATGATAACAATGAAAGCGAAAACAATGATGATGACGACGATAATGTTGTTCTAATCGAATCAAAGCCAAACAAATCTAATTCCCGAAATAATAATCGGCAACGTCAATCGTCGACTAGAACCTTGACTCGACAATCGGGTAGAAAGCAAGGTGATACTAATGCTAATAATGTCAAATCCAATCGATTGAATCGTCGTGCCAAACCGACAACGATTGTTGATTTTTTATCCGAAGATTCCTCTTCATTTTCTGTTGATGATACCGTCAAAGAAGAACGAAACAATGACCATGATGATGATGAGAAGCCTGTCAAGTTGGAACCTCGCATAACACGCTCGAATAGAAAAATTGAACCGGATAAAAGCAGCAAGACTATGGAACGGGCCAAGAAGAAAAAACAATCGCCCAAAAGATCGGACCGTAAAATTGAAACCGAAGAGATTAGAGAACGCGCACTGCAATATTATACCGATCTGAGGTATCGCATGAAAGATATCGAAAATAAATATCAACAATCCAGATATCAACGTTGTGATCGTAATAACAATCCCGCTTCCATCATCCACCAGCCATCCTCTTCATCATCATCATTATCATTGAATAAACAACCAGGTCTAAAACGCCCACAATGTACATCGATTTCATTTTCTTCAACATCATCATCATCGTCGTCGTCGTCATCAAGTTCATCGTCGAATGATGATTCCGACGATATGGATGAACAGAAGCCGAAAATATCACATCGACAACAACAGCAGCGTGGCAGATCATCATCAACAGCTGAGGATAACGCAGCGGCAACTGTCAATTCATTGCGACGTATCAAGACGTTACGACGAGCCGTTATGCGAAAAATGATGACAGACAACAACGATAATCAAATGCAAAAATCAAAACGAAAAACTAAACGTTCCACTCTGAATCAATTGAAGAAGGAAACTGATTCAGCCCAACAACAACAAGCATCATCGTCATCATCGTTCGATATTCGAACCAGAGCGTCGATGCGTCGTACGCGACAAAGTCAATCACAGCATAAGAACCGTTCGAAGAATAATTTCCTATATCGACAATATGATGGTAATGATAATGATGATAGCTGTAGTAACCAACAATCCATTGACTCATCACATTCAACCACCCAATCTAATAATAATATTGCCGAAGCTAACTAACACTATTTACCATTCATACACAGATTCTAATCTTTCTTTCGTTTTTCCTTTTTTCTTTTTTCCCTTTCATTCACGAATTTCAAGTTGATTTATAAAAACATTCAACATTTTGCTGATTGTTGCGGATTTTTAAATTGTTGTTATCTGTTGTTTGAATTTGTTCTGCTGATCCAATCAAAATAAAAACTGAAATTACCCAAACTAACATTTTTCACTTTTTTCTAAAAATGATTTAGCTCGTCAATCTAAACGTAGTCGTTACATACTAACATTTCGACCACCAAAACGACCTTCACGACAAGCATCGAAGCAAAAATGCGAGCAAATCAGTGATGAAATTGACAGCAAATCTATTGCTGATATCAAATCGACAGCATCTAGTCAACGACAACAACATGATCAACACGATTATCGTCGTGCGATCGAAAAACGAATGAATTTCTATCGCCGCACAATGAAACAACTAGAAGGACAACAAACATCCGGTAATCGTCTCAATGACCTTGATCAACGACTATTATTACATTCGAAAATGGTTGTCAAACTTGGTTTCATACCGGTTCCACAGTTTGAATTGTTTGAGATGCCAGCTATTTTCCAAATGGAACGACATAGATCAATAATCGATGACGATGACGCTGGTGATGATAATCCAAATAATCATGATAAGCGATGGTTCAATCAAAACGGTACAAACGGCGGTGATGATCACCATAAAATTATCATCAACGGCAAAAATGCTGATCACCATATCACACACAACTCGAACATTGAAAAATCTAGATGATTATTATTATTTATTATTAACCATTTTGATACGAAAAAAGTATTTTTTAAAATTTCGTGTAAAATAGACCATTTTATAAATGTATACTCTTAATGTCACATATACTGTTTGCATGTAGATAGGTAATTTTTTCATTTAAAAAATATAAAAATAAAAAACCGAATCAAATATTTTTGGAAAAGTTACAAAATCTATAAAAGTGTTCATTGTACATTGGATAAAAGTTGATCAAATTCTTCGCAATTATATGGTTGTACGGCATCCCTTTCCCAGACACGAATACTGTGCAATATTTTTTCCAATAATGAACAGAATTTTAGACAATCCGATTCCGATTGGGATGATATGAAATATCTGTTTCAATCAAAAGTTAATCATTGCAATTCTCTACAACAACAAATACTTACAGTTTAGGTTCGATCCGAGAAAGCGCACCGCCACCGGTGATCAATTTCCTTGCATTGGAAATGGCTGGTGGATCAACCATAACCAGTACGAAGGAATTGGAACGTCGGCACAGATGGCGATGTTGGATTTTGAGAAACTCCACCTTAGGATTGATGCAATGTTTCAGATTGATCACACCCAATGGTTGATCGATATTTTTCTCTTCACCAAAACGGTAATAACGAAGCTGTTCACCTTGTATGCGGAAATATCGCACATTCCAGAATGATTCATCTTTTTCCTTCATATCGAAAAATCCGGGAAAATGATTGCCATGTGATACTTTGATGCTTACATTCATTGTGAGATAACTATCGATGACGGGCAAAAAACAATCCGAGTCCAATCGATAGAATTTGTTTGCATTGGCTTTCACATTCTGCAATGTTAGTTTCACATAACCGATCAATCGAAAATTTCCGGCTGGAACCGTTTCCGCCGGCTGCTGTTTTGTGGTCCGTAATTGAACGAGTGGTGAATTTTTGGCTGGCGAAGAGGACGCCGAACTTGCCGAGTGCATCAATTTTCGTCGAATAGTTTTGAATGGGGAATTTGCGAATCGATATTTATGACCAGCAGCACCGCCTTCTTTCAAAGATAATTCCAAGGCAAAAACTTTGATGGTTACTTTGAAATCTTCGGATAGTGGACCGATGGCCAGACCCATATCGAAATCTAAATAAGATTTGGAAGGATTCGAACCCGTATCCAACAATTTCGATACATAAACTTTCGGACCGAAAATAACCAGACAAATGAAATGAAAAACACTATTCAATTTGCCTTTGGCACGTTCCTGTATGAATTCATTCAACAACGGCAGTTTGATGTGATCGATGAACAAGGTACCGGTGCTGATATTCTGCTGTTCCATTGTTCGTTGTAAATAGTGATCAGTATTGGAAATCATCGATTGTAAACGGCGTATTTCCCAACGACAAGCGTCAATTTTTTCATTCGAAATCAACAATAATCGTTCGGCTTCGACACGACTATCCGAATTGCGCAATTCGGGCATTGATAATGACAGATTCAAAGCCGTGTTTGATTGTGACAACACTCGGTTATGATCGGTGATTTCATTTTTCAAATCAATCATTTTCGATTGACAATCCAAACGAAATTGTTCACGATCGGCATGTTCTGCCTCATCCATATTGTGTCTCATTTGTTTATTTGAATCCATTTGCTGATCCACTTCGATTCGTTTGGTCATTTGCTGTTCTTCACGCAATTTTCGTTGCTGTTCACGATAAAAACTAATAGTTCTGAGCGGTGGCTCAATTTCGGTGTTTCGTTCTTCAATCTTTTCCGATTCAGGTTGTCTTCGATTGTCATCATCTTCGTTTTCATAGAGAAATAATCGTTGTGGTTTTTCCGGCGGTAAATATGAAGAGGCTTCTGATTGATTGTCATCATCTGACTGACCAGGGAAAAGATCAACTCGTGTTGACGATCGGTGTATCAGATTATTCGAATCATCCGAATCGTCATTCGATGTGGAAAGTTGTTCATTATCTTCACGGTCGATAGCTGTGAACGTTAATTCCATGACATCATCAATTTCATTTTCGATTTCTTCATCATTGCTGCCATCATCATCATTGATAGGAATTTCATCGATAGACTTGAATGTTTCCGATACCGCAGCTTGAACCATTTCCAATGATTTATCAAACGAAGGAGATTCTTCTTCGTCATCCTTATCATCATCATCTCTGTCCAACTGTTCCCTTAATAGTTTGAGATCAGCATCGGCAATATCATCTTGTTGATGTTCTTTCAATCGTTTGGGACTATGATAATAATCATCTCCCGGCGGTTCAGGAATTAATGATGTTGGTGGTGATGGTGGTTGTTGTTGCTGCAACCATGTAGCAGGCAATCGTCCTACTTTACATTTATATTGTTTGGCTTTGGCTTCATTTTCCTGTCGGATTGCCTTTTCGAACAGACGTTTTTTCTCTCTTACCGGCAATAACTCGGGTGCCAATTCCGGTCGTTCTTGATTTTCACTCATTTTCTTTTCGAACAACCGTTTCAAATCGGCTACACTTGTTTTCGTTTTTTCAATAGTTGTGGCTGGTTTGGGATGATCAATTTCAATCAAGGATTTTTTCGGCTCTACATACTCGACACTTTTCGATTTGAACAGATTTTCATTTTTTGCTTTTGGCGGTGGTTGCTGTTTGGTTAATTGTGGTTGAGATTTCGGCGATGAAATTTTCGTCTGAAACCGTTTTGGCGATTCTTCTTTATTAGCGACTGGATAATATGAATCGGCAATCGATTTCAATCGATCCCGAAGTTCAATTTTTTTCGGCGGTTGAAATTCGTTTGTTGCAAAATTCTGCTGTTCACGCATTATCGATTTTGGCCGATTAACAATCCGATCATTTTCATCATTATTTTCGACATCTTCATCTTCATCATCTTTATAGATGGCTGATAATTTATCCAGGCGACGACGAAGACGATCATCTTTTTTATGCATGCCATCCACATCCTCATCATCATCCCCATCATGTTCATGGTCATCATGTTCATCATCATCCTTGACACATTGATTCAAATCCAATGGCACATGAACATTCAATAATCGATTGATTGACTTTCGAACCTTATCGATCTCGATATTTGAACAGTTGGCCGCTGACAACAATTCTTCATCGATGTCGTCATCGTCATCGGGTTCAGCAGATTTGGCTTGGCTGATCATTGTTGATGAATGAGGCTCATCACCATTTTCGTCATCAACGTCCATAATTTCCGAATTGTCTGATTTCAATTCTTCGGAAAATTCTTCCAGAATTTTTTGACTTTTCTGCATCTTTTTCATCAAATTCTAAATTTAGAAATTCAATTTTTTGATCAGAGAAAATTCGACAAGTGATATGAATAATCAAACAAAATACTTACAAATACCAAAGAATCTGATGCAGTGAAATTCAACGAATCATCCATCGTTGTTTTGTGATTTCGAAAATATCCAACAAATCGAAAAACAAACTGACCGTTGTAAGTTTGGCGGTTGGTTGCAAAAAATTAATAGTGCGATGCACATTCAACCAAACAACTTGAATGAATCATTCACCGCCAAATCGAAAAAATATTAACGGACAAAATTTCAGATGCGTTCAGCAATGGTCACAATTGCCTATTTTAGCATTGAAAGCCAATTTTTTCTCATTAATCACAGTGACTAGATCACACATTGTGACTGTAGCTGAACATCGATTATTTTCAGATCCCCGTCATATAAGATGTTACTGCATAGTTTGATCACCGATTTTTAAAGTTTCATAAGAATTTATCTTTTCTTAATTCTAAAAGGATTTGAATATTATATTTTCCATAAATCAAGATGAATGAATCGGCTGAGGCAACAACGTTGGATTTAGAAAATCTGATTGCAATGAATGAAATGATTAAACGGACCAAAGGTAAAGAAACAACATTTCAACAAATGAAACGTCAAAAAATTACATCATCGAATCGTGCATTCATCGACCCGGAATTTTATCAAACAAATTGCGACCAAAATTCGATTGAAACTTTATTGGATAAAGGTGCTCACCAACCGGAACGAATATTAGCTGTTACGACATTGGATGATCTAGGTCTGTTGATTTGTTATCTGGTGAGATATACAAATGGTCAATTGGAATTGGTGCCCAATCGAACTGTTCATCGTCATTGTCCGCAGATGGTAATCGATTTTCTGGAATCGAATCTCATATTTTCAAATAACGACAATAATCCAAATCTGCCTGATGATTTATTCAAAGGATTGGAAAATGCCAATCAGGATGATGTTCAATTGCCGAAAGATTCGAAAACTGAATCTCAAACTCAGACAAACGACAATGCTGATTTGGATGACGATGATGATGATTTTTATCAATTCGATGAATTATCCAAGTGTTTCGATATGAAAAATTTGACCAATGTCATCAACAAATCCACGAAACCACAACAAAATGAAACCATTGAAATTGATTTTACCGAATTGGATGATAATGGTTCGAATCGTTCAACATCACAAATTCATAAGCTAATCATCAATGAGGATGATGATGATAATCCCATATCTAAACCTGGAACATCGAAAAGTATTGATGATCAAATTGAACCAAAAGAAATCAGTCATTTGCAAGCACAAGAAATAGAATTTGTCAACACTATCTTTGATAAAGAAACTATTGAAGAATTACTGGATAACAATTTATTGGATGACGATCAACTTGTGATGAAAGAACGTGATGCTAAACATGAACAGACGATGCCTGGTTTGGATGAAATCAACGAAACACTTTCTATGTCATTCCATCCGAATGATTCGCAAGAAAAAAGCGATTCGCAAGAATTATCATCCATTTCACCAGATATTATGGAGCAATTGCTTAGATCGGAGGTTCACACCTCGGATATGGATAAACAACCACAAGAAGAAGAAGAAGTGACAAGTGATGATCCAATGGATAATAATTTTTAATTATATTTTCAAGTTTTTCCTAAATACTAACAATAGACTAACTGTTTTGATCTTGTTGTTGTTTGAAATATAATAAATATTCTTTGCGAAATAATTGCCAAAAAAATATGGATAAAAGTGTGTGTGGTCCTAAACGTAGAAACGAGGCACCGAATCCTTTATAAAATCCTAGAATACCTTCGGTGCGAAATATTTTAAACATACAATCCATTATGCCACGATATAATTGGCCCTTTCCACTTTTCGGATCAACAGGTTGATTATAAAGCCGAGTGGATATGACATCGAAAGGTGTCATCGACACCACCACAAAGCAACTGCCAATCATTGCGCTCAATAATGTTCCATACCAGCTATCAACATCGATCCATTGTTTTTTATCCAAATATGTTTTCACCGTTGCGAATGACGTCAATTGAATTGATCCACCAACCGATACACGAGTCATCGATGCCACCGAACCACGCCACAATCCTTTCACACCGTTTTGTTGATATATTGAACGAAAACCACCCATCATTGATGTATGTTTATGCTGATGACCGACAGCGATTGATGATTCGGATTGCGATTGCAGATGCGTTTTAACCAGATAGAATGGCGAACCGATAAATGATCCAATCATACCGCTGCCAACACCACAAATGATGGAACGATAAAATATAACATCACCCTTATTATTGCGAGTTAATTGTAAATTATCACAAACTTGATAGAGGCCAAAACGACAACCATTCATCAGGAATTGAAACCAAATAGCAGGCACAAAGCCTTTTTGTAATGACACAAAACTTTCATTACGTGCCATCTGATAGAAACCGTGGAATACATTACGATAATGTACTTGATAATGACCACGAGCTTGTAATTCCCCTTGCAATTGTATACGTGTTTTAATAACATCCAATGGATTTGTAAAAAAACCGGCAACAGCAGCACCAACGCCACCAAGCATGAGTTCATCCCATTGTATGACCACTCTTTTTTGATCCATCATTCTTTTCTCCTATAGGAAAAAAACAAATTGTCAACACTTTTTCTGTTGTAAGAATTTTTGTTAAACAAAACATTACTTACACATATGGGGAATCAATCGATAAATTCCAATGTACATTTTTATCAATTTAGATAAACCAGAAAGAGGCTTTGCTTTATCTTTGTTTTATAACGTCATCATTCTCGCTTCGAGTAAAAAAAATGTGTTATCAATTTAAATAAGCATGATTTTCCGATGTGATCCATACACTCACACCATACATATGACCTTCGATCATTTCAAGTCATGTCTAGTTCTTCTTTATTAGATGATATCATCACATTTCAAGAGATAATTTTCGATCGAAAATCAAAACCCCTAAAGGCACATAATCATTGATTTAGATGAATGATCTTTTTTCGGATGAAATCTTCATTTCAAAAATTAATAAAGACCATATGATTTTTTGCGGATTTTTTGATCAATACATCCACTAGATGGCCCCATAAGTTGTTTAGAAAAAGGATATTTATTTTCAAAAAACATCGCGCCTAAATATTGAACAAAAAAGAAAAGATTTTACTGTACAAAACGAATATAAAGAATATATAAGTTTACAAAGATATCAATATCTAACAATCTTACCATCATTATCATTGGGTCATATATCACGCACACATGTACGAACCGAAAAACCATTTCCGAAATTTTCTGATTAAGTATCATTGATGGTGATGGTAATGGCTTCAAAAATTATCAATGAAAGTAGACTATGAAAGTAGACTATGAATATAGACGAAAAACTATAACGGTAAATATGTAAATGGAAAAAACGAAAGATGGTTTCGATTTTTGATATGGGATGAATGAATGCAGAAAAAACATTGATGATGCATGATAATGTTGATGATATTTTTTTCTTTTAGTTGCTGCTTGGTAGTAGTTATCATTATTATCATCGATTTTCGTTTTTTAATGTTTCGCCATCGTTGTTGTTGTTGTTGTTAGGGAATTTTTTTCATTTTTTCATTATCGTCGTTTTCGTGCATAATTATTGATTCGATTCATTAAACTGATAAGCATTTTGTTCTCTAATCAAAATAAAAAAATTAATTATTATTTTTCATTCGATCACCAATCAACCAACCAACATCATTTTTATTCATCATAAATCAACAACAACATCACCAATTGCCAAACAGAATCTGATAATCGAATAAAACGATGATCAATGTTTATCATCATTAATCAACTTTGAATTGATAAATATTGTCCATCAGGTAAACTGAAATTGATCCAAAAAAAATTCGAATAATTTTCGAATCGAGAATAAACATTCGATTAGCACATGCCAACAACAATCAGCGAGAAAACGATTCTTGTTGAGTTTGCGCAAATCGAATATTCGAAATGATTCGAATATTCATCACGAACACTTTCTTATCAATTTGAATCAACCAACAGAAAAAATTGATTGATAGAAAAGTTTAGTGGTGAATTTGGTAAAATTTCAATCAATTCAATTCAACTGATGTTTCATTCAAATCAAATGTCTTGCAAATTCACTCATTCAGGTTGAATGGCATCCTTGATGCTACCGAATTTGATGCGAGCAAAACAAAAATGAAGAAAGTTGATATGATATCGCCAATCAATCAAATCAAATCTGTGTCTTGTTTTTCTATCAAATATCATCATCATTTTCTTCCGTTTGAAATCCGAATCTTTGATTTCTGTCACTTTATGTGGTGTGTGATTCTAGGACAAATTTCCCTCCTGGTTGGTGTTGTGAAACAATAAATTTTTTTGGTGAAAATTTTTTTATGACCATTAAATAAACCTGAAAATACCAAGCTTTTCTACATTTTCTTACCAAATCCATCACTGTAATAATTTGTCTAATCAGTCTGTCTGACGACAACGACGACGATGATGATTATAAAATGAAAATCTCATCGCTGTTGATCACGTAAATCAAATTAGACTGAAAATTGTTTTATAAATCATCATCATCGTTGGGTTAATCTACTTGGTTGAAAAATTAAAAACCAATCAATTTTTATGGCAATCAAAGATCAATGATCATCAAATAATGTAATGTACATTAGTAATTGTAATCAATTACTGAGAATAATTTGCAATGATACTAATCAGAATCTTAACAATTCACTTTTATTATTTTTTCATACAAAAAAATGAATGAAAATTTATTATTATTCGATGATGGCAATTGAATATATGACATTTGAGAAAATATAAAAAAGATTTTATCACTAAGAAATCTCTCCTTGTCATCATCATCATCATTATGGTGGTTGTCAAAGACAATTTTGTATATTAATATGGTGAATGAATGATATCGATATCCTTTTACTACCACAATACACTTATCGAATGTCGATCATAAAATCAAAAAAAGCATAATGCACTTTGGTTAATATAATATACCTCAATATTTGATAAATCATCATCGTCATTTATCACTTATGATGACTGTAAATTAATAATTAAATATATCCGGTAATATTATTACTAGCCGAAAATCTAGAAAAAAAATATTTTATTATATTTTTCTGTGGTTGTTGTTGTTGTGCCCACCCTTAAATAAGTAGACCTTTAAGTATTTACTATTATTATTCAATTGCAAATCCAAAACAAGTGGTGGTGTTGTGTTTTGTCATCCATCCATTTGAGAGATACAAGTGTCATCCAATTATAATAGATGTTGTTGGTTAGCTAGTTAGTTGATAATGTTAATTTGATATTTTCAAAGACAAAAAATCAGATAAAAATTGGCGTCGTTGATGACAAAGATAATGAATTGAGATTCTTTTTTTATTTGGATGGTTCATTCGGATTTTATATTTGAATGGATGATGATCGGGCAGTTCACTTGCATTTTCATTATAAATCAGAAAAGTATAGGAAATTTTGTTAAACTTCAAACTTATTTTCACAGCAATGTTTCATTCAACAATGATCATACCGGCATCGTCATATAGTCAACAACAACAACAACAATATTCATCCATAATTTTACATCATCATTATCATCACCATCATCTTTGGCATCATGCTTATCAACAACAGCATTTGTCATCATCGAATGCTGTGATGATGCTGTTGCAGCCACCAACTTCGAATGTTTCGAATGTTCAGCTTACATATCCGGCTAATTCTACTCATTTTGCGACTATTGCGACATCATCGAATCCCAAATCAAAATATCAAAACTCAACAGCAACAAATTCTCCACCAACTAGAATTCCACCGCCAGAATCATCATGTTCATCATCATCATGTAATTCATCGTTATCGGGTAAATCAACCCCTTATTATGGTGGTTATGGTTCCCAACCATCATCACCATCATCATCATTATCGACGTTTGATGATTCAGCGATGATGATACACCCAGCACCCTGTTTAATACCATCATTTACAACAACGTTAATGGATAGCCATTCTTCCTTAATAGCACCACAATTTTCTTTTGCTTCTAATCAACCTTTGACAACAACAGTATCATCGACATCGATCAATCCATCACCACCACCTTTATTACCACCAACAATTTATCATCCCACAGCAATACCTTCGCTGAAAACATCATTAAAAGAATTATATGCTGATTTAGGCGTCTATTACAATCCGGTGCCATGGAATCAATCATTGTATGTTGTCATAGTTGCTGTTGAATTTGCTTTGAAAAATTTTCCTTTCCAAAAATATATAGCGGTATGGAACGAGTATGGATGTCGGAATTTCGACGAATATTTTCACAATTTTCAACCGAATTATGGTCCATACAACCGGTGGATAAGAAACCAACAACCCATTCTAATATTCGTCTGCACATGTTTGTCGATTCGGCTAAAGTTCGTTTCTGTTGTGAGGTAAATTTAATGATGATTAAATTTGAATGCAATTCATTAATTGCTTCTCTTTTTATCGTTTTGATAGCGTTGTTCGCATAGTTGGACATCAATGAAAGGCCGTATAGTATTTTGGTTTAATTTATTACAACCCAATTTCAAATGTGGAATCGTTGCCATTAAATTGTTTGGACAACGATGTGATTCATGCAATAGAGATAATTCATTCGAACAACCAATGTGGTATCCCGAGGAAGTTACCAAGGTAGTTTTATTTGAAATTTCCAAATTGAAAAGCAAATTGATAATTTTCATTTGTTTGATGAACAAAAAGGTTCTAATGAATCTATATAATCGTGTTGGACAAATATTTTATGGATTTGAAAAGACTAAATATGAACGACAACGACGAATGGGTAAACCACGACAACAACACAATAAATCATTATGTCAAGCATGTCAGGAAGGTATTTGCCTGAATCGATCATCAAACAGATCAAATAACGATAACAATGATGATGAGGAGGATGATGAACTTAATGATGAGCTTAACCCTCAATCTCAACAGCAACAAAACAACCATGATGATTATGATGATCAACAACCAATCGAACCAGAATTGAAAGAAACATCAGATAACAATCATAATGATGAGGATGATCAGGAAAGTGAAGATAGCGGAGTGAATGATACGAGAAGTATCGATTCAAATGATGATTCTCATCATACAGGTTTATCATCGTCAATATCCTGATCACACAAAACGAAATCAGCTAGCAAATATAAAATGATGATATAAATAAATAATTATTCAATTCAACTCCAAAACACCTAAAAATACTTTGACTATTTTGGATCGATCCAATAAAAATGGAACATGTTTGGTACATCATCATCAACAATTAGAGATTATGTTCTTTTTCCACTTTCGGTTTGTTTGTCTTACCTGGATGATGATGATGACCTAGATTTGCGAAAGCCAGAAATTTTCTTATTAAAACTTTGTTTAGCCCACTTGACTTTCTCCAAAGTGAGAGTCATTTTCCTCGTCGAAATTGGTTGTTAATTTGTGTTTGGAGATTTTTTCATTTGGATGCTTTTTGCTGCCACCAAAGAGACATTGTTCTTTCATTTGTTTGAGATGGGCTGTGTCTGTCTATCGTCGTCGTCGGTTTGTATGGTGAGTACCATTCACGCGATGATGATGGTGACCTAAATCTTCAAATAACAATCTTATTGTGATAATGGTAAAAGACAGACTCGTTTGACCAGTAAACATCATCATTTTAAACAAAGACAATTTTTTTGATGATCATTATTGGTTTGTTTTTCTCCGGGAAAATTTCTTGGCAATAAAATTTAAAATATTCGATTCTCACATGGAGAATTGCTGCAATTGAAATTGGAAAACTTTTGTTTTTTAGTTCATTTCATTTTTTTTGGTTTGTTACCCGGAACATTTTCTCGAAAAAAACCATCAATTTTTCTTCAAAAAAAAAAACGAAAAAAAATGATGTGAAAAAAACAAACGCAAAGCTAAAATTAGATTCGATTAGCTAATAAACAGACTAAAAAATGACAAACCAACTAAAAACTTGAAAAAGAGAAAGTTTTTTATTACCACCGGCAAATTCGAAATGAAGAGAGTAGCGTCGTTCGATCATTTTTCGATGGTGAAAATATCGACTTCTTTGCTAACTTGGCATTTTCCATTCAACCATCCAGCCATACGGTCGTTTGATTTTGTTCTGTGTTTGGATTTTTCTCAGAATCAATATTATGATTTGATTGGTGGAGGTGACAAAAAATGATGAAATATCATTTGAAACAACAATGCCTCATAATGGCAACATTGTTCGTTGCCATTTTGCTTGATCAACAGACAGCCAACAGCAGCCCAATAACAATAACAAAAATATTGGCTGGTAAAAAAAAATTCAAAACATATTCGTTGGGCATATCATTTCTACCGACATTGGTGAAAGTTAAACCAAATAAACTGCATTTAACCATTCGCCAGAATCAATATGTTCGTCCCAAAAAATTCAAAATGGATGGATCATTACCGTTGAAAGTTCCTACAATCGTAACACCTAAACGTAACCCGTATGCAGGGCCGCCAAAAGATGTTGTTATCAATGCTGATATTGCATTGGGACCGGATGGTTATCGTCAAAAATCTAATTATGGTTATGCGTCATCCGCAGCATCAGAATCGCAACCGATTATCGAATCATCGCCACAATCACCGTATCCATCCCGACCTCCATTAGAAATACCATTGCCGATGCCGATGGAAAATCCTCAACCCAACCTTGTACAATTTGATGATCAAGAAATGGTTGGTCAACCACGTTTACCGCCACCAATCGATCCAAATGAGCAAAAATTATTACTTCAGCATGCTAACATGCAACAAGTGTCAGCCGGATCATTTGATCCATCAGAATTAATGTTAGCACCTCCACCACAACAACAACCACCCCCACCTTCTCCATTGCCACCATTGCCAGCCAAATTTCCAATGGAAATACCACATTTACCTCTTCCAAATGAATACAAATTTCAAGGAATGTCCAAACAACCCAACGATGATCAACCAATGGAAATTCGACGGAGTTCATCATCATCATCACCATCAAATCTACCTGAACCATATCATCATCATCTTATTGATCAACATTCTTCAATATTACCACCACCACCAATGCTATTTCCGCCTCCACCGCCACCACCGCTGATGATGGCTCCAATACATCGGCCACCTATGCTTCAACGACGTATACCATGGGGACCACCACGTCCTGATCAACGTATGTTCCACGATTCTTCATCGAAACAAAGAGATTCACCAATTTCCCGACAGATGGCAATCGAATTAACCGATATAACATCCGCCGATAATGATCAATCAGGATTTTCCAATCAACAGCAACTAAATCAAGAAGAACATCGACCAATGAAAATCAATATCGGTGAACATTATGATCCCAACATGATTTATGTGGATGATCAAACAATACCATCACAATCGCAAATCGATGAAGTAACAAACGATCCTGTCCCATTGAATGATGATGATGTCGATGATATGATGGATCGAAATCCATTAGCATCCAGTTCGCATCCACAACAACATGACGGTTTCATGTCCGGCGATGATCAAGCAATGGCTGAATCTTCCATACAGTACGTTAAAAAGTATGGCAATAAAAGATATAAAAAGAAAAAATATGGTGACGATGGTCCCGATGATTTTCGCATTGAATTCAATCTGAGTGGACCACACGGTGCACCATTAGTACCATATGGTTATGGTGATGATCAAGATCAATTGAATAAACAATTGAACCAAATTCAACAATACATTCCGGTTGGACCACATGCTAAATCCATTTATAATTATTATCTCAGACATACCTTTACCGAACCAATTCGGCCATGGCCATACTCCTATGCACGAGTAAAAAAATTACGAAAATTGATACCGCCAAGACAACGTAAACCAATGCCACCATTGCATCTTATGTAATTAGTCGTAATTAATTGATTTTACTTGCTTCTCAAATTCATCATCCTGTCTATTTGTGATCATTTTATTCATTTTTCTCAATTATAGCCAATTTTATCTGTAGAAATTCTCATTAAAAATTCGAATTTTTTAAATAAAAAACCAAAATCGAATATCCTTTAGCATCCTATCCTATATGAACAACTCCGGTGTTTTTTGCTTTTTTTAACTGTGCGTTGTTCAAAAATGAAGAATTCTCAATCAACCTCACACACACATGGACAACACAATGACCTGTGTGTGCTGCATGCCACTACTACTACTGCTACCATAACCACTTAATGCATGCTACTCGCTTGATTTGGCTATGAACAGAACAAACGAAAAAACTCAATCAAGAGAAAATAGTCACTGTGTGGTCACAATCGATGCAATACAATCACACTAAGCACTATTTTATGCACAAATCTATGCTACTATCCATTAACGTAAATTTAATTTTTTTTGACACAGTTTCGTTGTGACTTTAACCTAACCTAATCAATGTAGCTTTAGCTTCATGCTTCTACCCAATGCTTTACTTTGAATTTATTCGAGGTTCTTTCATAACATACACAGAACAGAGAGTGTTATGCATTCGTGTTGTGTTTCTTTCATTTTTTCATTTCTTTCTTTTCTTTTTTCATTTTCATCAAACAAAAAAAAAAAAAAAAAAAAAATTCAAAAAACAAAATTTTGCTCCCCATCATCATCACCACCTTTTTCAAAGGCAAAATTCG